CTGCACTGTGTATCCAAAGCACAGCATGTGTGTGTGTGTGCATGTGTGTGTGTGTGCGTGTGTGCCTGTTTTTAGTCTTTTGTTAAGCACTTTGGTTCACTTTGAGTGTTTTTAAAATGCTTTAGAAATAAAATATTATTGATTGATTGATAGATTGATTGATTGATTGGTTGGTTGGTTGGTTGGTTGGTTGGTTGGTTGGTTGGGTGGTTGGTCGGTTGGTTTGTTAGATGGCCTGTTTATTGGATGGTTGGTCGGTTGGTTTGTTGATTGTTTGGTTGGATGATTTGTTAGATGAAAGGTTGGTTGGGTTGTTGGTTGGTTTGTTGGTTGGTTAGTTGGCTGGATGGTTGGTCGGTTGGTTGGAGGTTGGATGGTTGGAGGTTGGATGGTTGGAGGTTGGTTGGTTGGTTGGAGGTTGGTTGGAGGTTAGATGGTTGGTTAGTTGGTTGGTTGGTTGGATGATTTGTTGGATGAAAGGTTAGTTGGGTGGTTGGTTGTTTTGTTAGTTGGTTTGTTGGTTTGGTGGTTGGTTGGTTGGTTGGTTGGTTGGTTGGTTGGTTGGTTGGTTGGTTGGTTGGTTGGTTGGTTGGTTGGTTGGTTGGTTGGTTGGTTTGTTGGTTGGTTGGTTGGTTGGTTGGCTGGTTGGTGATTGGAGGCTGGGTGTTTTTTGGTTGGATGGCTGAATGGATGGATGAATAGTTGATAGGCCGGTTGGATTATTGGTTGGCTGGTTGAATGGTTGGTTATTTGGTTGGTTGGTTGGTTAATTGGTTGGTTGGTTGGTTGGTTGGTTGTTTAAATGGATAGTTGGTTGGTTGGTTGGTTGGTTGTTTAAATGGATAGTTGGTTGGTTGGATGATTGGTTGGCAGGTTGGATGGTTGGTTATTTGGTTGGTTGGTTGGTTGGTTAAATGGATGGTTGGTTAGTTGGTTGGATGATTGGTTGGATGGTTGGTTGGTTAGTTGGTTAAATGGATGGTTGGTTGGTTGGTTAAATGGATGGTTGGTTGGTTGGTTGGTTGGATGATTGGTTGGCAGGTTGAATGGTTGGTTATTTGGTTGGTTGGTTGGTTGGTTGGTTAATGGATGGTTGGTTGGTTAATTGGTTGGTTGGTTTCATGGTTGAATGGATGGTTGGTTGGTTGGTTGGTTGGATGGATGGTCAGTTAATTGGTTGGATGGATGGTTGGTTGAATGGATGGTTGGATGGTTAGTTGGTTGGTTAGTTGAATGGATGGTTGGATAGTTAGTGAGTTGTATTTATTGACATGATCATTACCGAGGTATTGCAAAGATATGATTAATTGTAAGGAAATTGCTGATGTTGCCATTTTTCAATTGAAATTTTAGTTTTTTCGAAAGTAAAACTGCACATAGTCTCATTTAAGGAGTAGGGTTAGGTGTAGCATTGGAGTAGGGCAGTAGAAAACACAGTTTGAACAGTATAAAACCAGAGAAATTCTTTATAGCTGCCTAACATTTTTAGTTGAATCAAATACATTTTTCTGATAATTTTAACTTACACCAATAAAGTTAAACTTTGTGTAGCTTTAGAATGTCATTAAAACCTGATTAACTCAAAATAAGTCTAATTAAATATAATTTAAAAAAGTTGAAGAAACACAAAAATATTGGTTGTCTTGAATTTTTGTCATGTAAAAAATGATGCACTTAAGTTGTCCATAGCATAAGCATAAGTGTAGGGAATGTCCCTACAAATGACAAAAACAAACCTGTGTGTGTATGTGTGTGTGTGTCATACGTTTGCAGAGGAGGGTGGAAGGAGGGTGCATCAGTGACATCACTATCAGGGAGGATCCGAATGGACAGGAAAGTCAATTAGAGTTAAACTGAGTTTACCAGCTGGTAAGAGAGAGAGAGAAAAAGAGAGAGAGGGAGGAAAAAGGGGAGGAGAGCACAAAAGAGAAGTACAGACAGATTCAGAGAGGAAGGGAGAAAGTCAGCTACAAAGCCAAAGAGGACAGGAGGGAATTTACCCGGCACAAAACTTCCAACAACTCCTCCTCTCTTTTTCATTCTGCTTCTTAGCTGCTATTTTGAGTGCTGCTCCTGGCATAACAGTGGCGTCCAGTCAAGCCGGTGGATTTTTTTTTTCAAGAACACAAACAAGATGAGAGCCTGAGGACAAGCTGGAGAAGCTCCCGTTATTCCAGAGATCCATCCGGAGACGTCCACTCCGTCCTCAGGGGCGAATGAGAGGAGCGGGTCTGTAACGCTGGACAAACCATGGACTCTGCAAAACGCCCACTTCACCTGGACGTGAGTACCACAATTCAACACCTTGACGCTGGGAACATGCAGTAGATTTTCTGCCGTGGGTGAAACTATAACTAATCCATCATTTTAAACAATTTGCACTAAAAGTCAGAATTATTAGCCCCTCTATATTTTATTCCCCTTTTTCTGTTTGTCGGAACATAATAGTTTTAATAACTCATCTCTAATAACTGATTTCCTTTCTCTTTGTTATGATGACAGTAAAGTTAGGGTAATTAGGCAAGTCATTGTATAACAGTTTGTTCTGTAGAAAATCCAATACAAATATTGCTTAAGGGGGCTAATAATATTGACATTAAACTGGGTTTCAAAAAATTTAAAACTGCTTTTATTCTAGCCAAAATAAAATAAATAAGGTTACAAAATATTATAGGAGATACTGTGAAAAATTCCTTGCTCTGTTAAACATTGTTTCATAAATATTTAAACATTTATAACATTTAAAATATTTAAAATTAATAAATAAATTGACAGAAGAGCTAAATTGTTTGCAGCCACTTACCTTAAAAAAATGATTAAATCTAATTCATTATATTTTTCAGTCTGCTTGACTTGTTTGTTTACCTCACCCTTATATAAAATAACCTCAACCCTAAAAAGATAAAAATTACTCATTATTTGGTCAAGCTTCTTTCTTCGGGTGAATACAAAAGAAGATATTTTAAAGAAACTGAGAACCTGTAACCATTCACTTCCATAGTAGGAAAAGCAAATACTATGGAAGTCGATGGTTACAGCTTTCTTTCAAACATCTTCAGCAGGAGAAAGAAAGTCAAACAGGTCTGAAACAAATATAGGTTTAGTTTATTTTACGTACAGGTCATACTGTGTAAACTTTGCTTGCAGCATGTTGTAAATTAGTCTTATCACAGCTCCACTACTCAGGTCAAGCTATCTTGTTTTGACGATGTTTAGATAGTAGAAAAACAAGACCTTTACTACTGATTAGGAATTTCTGAGTTCTAATCTCATTAAATTTACTGAAAACCTCAACCAACCACCCAGCCTATGGTTGTTCTCAACAAACTGTCTGATCCGTGCTATTAATACACATGCATTGCTCACCAAACCCAATGACAGATTCATAGCGGAGATGCTTCCTCAGAACATGTGAAACAGGCAGGTCAAAGTTTCCACCAAAGGCAAAAGTAACTAAGATAACTACCTTTCTGGAAGAGACTGTACACTGTACAAATGTACAGTGCAGCAAACAAAAAGACAAGTTCTTTGCTACCAATATAAATCATAAAGACACAATCTGGCAGACAAGCTAAGTTGTGATATGCGATGTGTCATTTCAGGGCTTGAAAATGTACTTTTTTTTTAATTGTTATGATGTTTCGCTAACTAAAAGACATCATTCAGCCTTTTCCAGATGATAATACAGCATTGTGTGAGAGTTTAGAGACAGTCAAATTGATAGCAGAATGTTATGTGGGGGTTAGGGAAGGATTCTGGGAGGAAATGTCTTGTCTGGTCTACTCCACTCATCCTTGGAGACCGCTTTAGTCTGTTCTTAGCTGAACCTTTGGCAAGCTGCATAGAAAAAGTGTGTATGTTTTATATAGCAATGAGCTCTGGAGTGTGTTTTCCAGTCTGTAGCAGTGGGGTGCATTGTGTGTATGTGTGTGTGTGTGTGTGTGTGTGTGTGTGTGTACAATCACTGAGTCTACTGAATGTTATGCAGCACAATTTGAGGTCTGGGCTGTTGTTATTATCTCTTAATCAGTCCAGATGGGTTAAATTAGAGTTCTTTGCAAATACACCCTAATAAAACCACCCTGCGGGCTACCAGAAACATTAATGATTTCATCTCTATATGCAACAGAACACTTCTCATGTGACTAGGCCACTTAAGAATCACTTGGGGAACATACAATAAGTGTGGGTACACTTTGCACCCATAAAAACTGAAGCATGTTTTAAAGCAGTAGTTCGCAAAGACCCACTATTGGTGACTTTAAATCAATCAATCATTTTCTTTTTGGCTTAGCCCCTTTATTAGTCAAGGGTCACCACAGTAGATTAAACCCACCAACTTATACAGCATATGTTTTACACAGCGGATGCCCTTCTAGCTGCAACCCAACACCGGGAAACACCCATACACTCTTGCATTCACACACATACACTACTGCCAGTTTAGCTTATTCAATTCCCCTATAGCAGATGTGTTTAAACCGGAGCACACAGAGGAAACCCACGCCAGCACGGGGAGAACATGCAAACTCCACACAGAATCGCCAGCTGGTCCTGCCGGGACAAGAACCAGCAGCTTTCTTGCTGTGAGGCGATCGTGCTACCCACTGCACGCCCAAAATCAAATCGATAATTTATTCATTTTCTTTTCAGCTTAATCCCCTATTATAAATCTGGTGTCGCCACCGTGGCATGAACCACCAACTTATCCTGCATATGTTTTACACAGCGGATGCCATTGCAACTGCAACCCATCACTTGAAAACATACACACACATTTATTCACACACACACACACACACACACACACACACACACACACACACACACACACACACTACAGCCAATTTAGCCTACCCAATTCACCTACACCACATGTGTTTGGACTTGTGGGCGCCAACATGGGGAGAACATGCAAACTCCACACAGAAATGCTAATGGTTCAGCCGGGACAAGAACCAGCAGCTTTCTTGCTGTGAGGCGATCGTGCTAACCACATCAAATCATTTATGTTAAATTATCACAATGATCATATTTTAACCATAAATTAAAAAGATATAAAATAGTAGTTAATAGTTATATAAAAACAACAACATGTAAATAAAAAGCCACTAGCTTTTCAGTCTTTTTTCATTGGATTGTGACCGCTGGGATGAATACCATACGTTTACAACACAGCAATAGTATTGGGTCTAGCAGATCGATTTAACAACGTTAAACTTTCCAATTTTGGCATCCATGTTCATTAAAAATGAATCGTAGCGGTCTCCAAAATTAAATCTAAATTGCACTTGCTGTGCTTCAATCAAGTGCATTTTTAATTTAATTTTAGAGACTGCTACAATTCATTTTTAATGAACATAGATGCCAAATTTGGAAAGTTTAACGTTGTTAAATCGATTTGCTAGACCTGCATTGTGCCAACCCATCTCATTAGGTGAGGTTAATGCTGAAATTAAACAAATCAATAAACTACTATAAAAATCAACCCAGGCTCATTCTGATAACACCACTATATACATTTCTGGAGATTGCGAAATACAAATTTTTTTGCAGTTTTTGTTTTCACGAATCCACCAGAGGGCGCTGTGTACGCTTTTTCAGCTCTCAAAATTCTCTCGTGAGTTGCATTTTTGCCTTCTGTTCTTACGAAAATCCAATAGAGGCCGCTGTCGACTGACTGATTGACTGACTCACCCTCCTCCCTCCCCAAACCCAACCAATAGTGTTTTCAAAGCACCGATTGACCAGCGCCCACCCACTTTCCGAAAACCAAACCGACAGTTTTAAAAAGCAATCCAGAAAAACAAAAGCCCTAATTTTTACCACGTTTTCAGATTTTACAACATTCTCACCCTGTTATTTACTTGTTTATTTTATTTTTTGGCTTCTGTTTTTGTTGCTCTCTGGAAGTGTTCTTCCCCAGACTTAAACCCTGCTCAGCTCCTCTATGCGTCTCAAGTCCGCCAACGTACATGACGAGTTAATTAGACAAACTGGTAACAGCGGGAAAGCCGTTCATACAGAAGCGGACGTCATTCCACCCCGTAGCATTCGTTTTAAAGACAAAATGCAGCCATACATACCTCTTTGGCTACATAATTCGCAATCTCCAGAAACGTATATAGGGCTACGTTTTCAGAATGAGCCTGTGATGATGAAACACAGGTTGTTAGACCTTTTAGATTTTATTATGTTGTTAATATGCTCCTGTGTACACAGGCCGGTTACAGTGTGTGTGTAATATTTGTATACTTATAACCACCTCCAATGATAGCGGGGAGTTACTGGCATTGCTATTTTTGGGAATTAAACGTTTGGGATCCCCTATTTTAGAGTGTTCCTTTCAGAAAAAAAAAACGGCAGAATAAAGAAGGGGGGAGCAAGCCAGTGAGAAACAGTCTAGGGAATGAACGAAAGGAAAAACAACAGGAAAGGAGAGTGGAGGGATTGCGGTATACGGAGTGAAATGTGAAACACAAAGACAGCGGTGGAGGATAAATCAGCAACAAGCAGAGGCACCATGACCCCCACAGCCCCGCGCTGCTGACTTCTGGATAAATCCAAAGGGGGAAACATGAGAGACACACTGGCCTTTCCTAGAATGTGTAACAATATATCAATTCTGGAAGTCATGTTTTACAGGAAGAGAGCCGATAAGAAAAATAAAAATAGGAGGGGGGAAAATGTGGAAAGAACGCCGAAAGAGATAAGTGGTTTGCAGGTCACGTTGCTTTTGGTAATGGCACGAGTCTGGCTGACCTTCCCTCTGCTGGGGTCACCCCTCGCCGTCTGTTCTGGGGTCTAATAAACGCCTCTTTCCGCCCCCTCTGTCTGATTACTCCCTCACTGTGGAGAAAGTGGTTTCAGGTCAAATCCAATCACAACAGAAAGCATAACACACATGCAGACGGTTTTGGGAAAGAAGACAGAAGCGGAGAAGCCTAATGAAGTTTTAGTGGGGAGGCGGAATTTAGGATTCTGGAAGCTACACCTTTGTGAGGTCCCACCGGGAGGAACAATCGAGTGGACGGGTAAAAGCCACTTAATCTACTTTACTGCCGAATGCTGGGGGCGTGGGGGACTGTCTCATCCTGTGTGTCCTCTGAGGATTTGGTGAATGAGTGTGAGGGACAGACGCAGAGGACAGCGGGAGGACACGACACAGCCTCATTTCCAGTGCGTTTAACACCTGTACTTGAGGGTAATCCAAAACTCCCAGAGGAGTCACTGCTCAGCAAGTCCTGACTTGAGCAGATACTACATCAAAAGGGCATTTCGTTCGCCTCAGATGTAAGTGTTTCTGGCCTCCGCGAGACCACCCAGAATCTTGCCGAAGGAATATTCCAGGTTAAATACAAGTTAAGCTCTACACTGTATATGCCAGAGATGCCGCTGAACCCACAGATGTAATTTAGAGTCATCCCTCAGCTTGTGAAAATAGGCTGAATGTGTGTGTTGACAGTGATAAAGCAAAGCTTCAGGCCAAAGGTACGGTGAATATCCCATCTTGCATTTAACCTAAATATTAATTTGAGAGTGCTTTTTTTTCCTTCAAAGGTCTCAAATTAGCCCCCTGATACCGCATGCAAACTCCACCAATGAACATATTTGTAAAGAAGCCTTTAAGAAGGTTTAAGTGGGTTTAGAGTTTGCACCAGGAATAATAGTTCACTACTGTAAGCCTTTGAAGATCTTGTCATGGATGACAGCTTGTAATGATTAGCTATTACTGCAAAGATGGAAATTAAGTGCAGCAGATGAAGGAAAAAAGACTTTGGCTGCGTCCAAAATTAGCTACTACTAGTAGATACTGTATTTCAATTTGAATTTACTACTTGACCGTACGTTCTATATAGTGTGAATGTGAGTAGTATGAATGGAACTCGGACGTACTGCATCCGCCATTTCAAGAGTTTAGCTGATGATTTATAAAAGCTTGTTTGGCATGCAGTCCCGGGAGAGAGCCCCGAGCTCAAGGACTCCTCGAGTCCGGGGCTTCCTCCCGTTGGCAGAGCGAGAGGGGAGCCTGAGCTCGGTGGATCTCAGAACTCCCCTGCTGCAGTAGCTAAGGGAACACAAGGGTTATATAAATGCTTGGTTTTTATGTATATTGAATGTCTTTGGATGGTGGAAGGAAACCGGAGAACCCGGGGAAAACCCACGCGGACACGAGGAGAACACACAAACTCCTCACAGAAACACCCACCGGTCCTGGGGGGCCAGGGCTGGCGGTGTTCTTTCTGTGGGGCTTGCAGTGCTAACCACTGGGCCGCCGTGCCGCCCAATCAGAGGTAAAGGAGGAGAATAGGGGAGGAGGGGGGTTTCTTCCAAACGAAGATAAAGTGAATTAAAAACTGTGGTTATTTATAGTAGCTTAGGTCTCGAATGATTGGAAGATACTGATTAGCAAATTAGAGACCAGCCGTGATAAATCATAAGCACGTGATCCTCTCGAAATTAGTTTATGAATAAACTTCACTTTGTCATGATAACGTGACCTACCTCCGTCAGTTGCCTCCCTTCACTCCCATTAATAAATTCTCTTGCGGTGCATCATGGGATAGCATAGCATGCATCAGATGCACACTTCAGAATCTATCCAGCAGTATTAAGCCATCAAGAAACTTCTTGCATGGTGTTTTTCGAATTCTATAAATTCTATATTTGGACATACTCCTTGACTCGCATACTGTTTTAGTGTACTATATAGCATGAAAGTGTGTGATTTCGGACGCAGCCTTTCTTTTGCACAGCTGGGATGTAGATTGGGCCAGAAATTAAGGCCAAGTTGTACGATTTTTGAGTGTCTCTTCCAAGTTGTTGATTGTGATATCAAAGAACAATTGAAGTAGTGATGGGTCGTTCTTGAACAACTAGTTCATTTTGATTGAATCTTTTGTATGACTTGAGATCGATGAGTTCTCTTGGAGAGCCATTGGTAGAATTAGAGGTTTTGTTCCTTTTCTGAGTCCTTTATCGAGTTTGAGTCATCGTGTGAAAGACTAAAGCCAATCAAATGCATTTAGAGCAAGGAAGAGATCTGATTCGTTCATCTCTCGAGTCCTCAGTTTGAGTTGTTCGTTCATCACGTGAAAGACTGGAGCCAATCATATGCATTTAGAGCAAGGAAGAGATCTGATCCGTTCATCTCTCGAGTTGTCGGGTTGAGTCGTTTGTTCATCATGTATACGACTGAAATCAATCATATGCATTTAGAGCCGGAATAAGATTTTATCCGTTGATCTCTCGAGTTCTCAGTTTGAGTCCTTTATTTATCACGTGAAAGACTGAAGCCAATCATATGCATTCAGAGCAAGGAAGAGATCTGATCCGTTCATCTCTTGAGTTCTCGGGTTGAGTCATTCGTTCATCATGTATACGACTGAAATCAATCATATGCATTTAGAGCCGGAATAAGATTTGATCAGTTTATTTCTCGAGTCCTCAGTTTGAGTCGTTCGTTCATCACGTGAAAGACTGAAGCCAATCATATGCATTTAGAGCAAGGAAGAGATCTGATTCCTCGAGTCCTCAAGTTCGAGTCATCTCTCTTTACATGCTGTCAAGTGATGAAGACTCGAAAGGTGAACTAATCATGGCTCATTTTGGCTCAGACTGTGTGCATTGGTCAAGCTTATATGAGACTGTCTGAGTGATGTGAACAGACCACTCAAATTTGAAGACATGCCAGAAGAGGTGAGCTGACATAATCATAGACAAAAGACCAGGTAAACAGCAAATGATTATTTTCTTTTTCTTATAGCATTCTAGTTTTGACTTGTTTGTAGTGTGATCAACGTTTGGTGTAGTTGTAGATGAGTTTGGAAGCAGAAAGATTTGTTCATCTCACTGAACAAGACTCAAAGATCCAAAATTCACATCACTAAAATGAAAGTACATTTTCTCTCTTTCGTTTTATCTTTGAAAGCTACTAATCTTCTTCATATTATGTATATGCTAAGCTAATGTATGAAAAAAACTGCAATAAATCATGCCAGCACTAAATATCCCAGTCTCAAATTACATTTGAAAGGTGATTTACTTTAAGCTGCCGTAAACATCAGTGTGCAGACAGAATCTGTAAACTTTTAACCCAGTGATTATTTTCTGGCAGCTGTTTTAGATATACAAATGACAACCAGTCGCTGCGTCACTGGCAGCAGCGCAGCATCAACAACACATAAAGCACAACTCAAGTTGCTGAATATTATATTGAATCTAGTTTCATTATGAGCCATCCTTTAATGACCAAACTACTTTGATAATCTGCGAATTACATTATGTAACGTAATGCTGCGCAATGTTGCCTAGCATTACGCAATACAAATTAGCATGTAAGTTAGCCGTGTGATTTTCAAGAACAGTGCAGCAGTGCTGGATGTCCTGGGTTACTCTCATTTGTCAGTTAAATCAACCGAAGAGACGCAGACTTAATGAATTGGTCTAACAGGCTTATTGTAGACCTCTAAATCAAACACCACAGGCCATAATCTCTGTGAAAGTACTTCAGTTCCCTTATGACACTGTTTCCGCGATTACCGTCTCCAAAACAAAATATACTGTTAAATCAACAACAAAAACACACAGTCATAGTTCCTTACCTTTGTATGCAGCAAACATACATCAACATATAGGAAATATTAAAGATAAAGTGCTAAAGAAGAAGAAAAGATATATAGGCACCAACTAAACTAGGACATAAGTTTAGAAATGTTATGTTGTCTAAACCAGGGTTTGAGTCTTTAATCTACAAAAACATAATTATTACACTGGCTCAGTGGTTAGCACTGTCGTCTCACAGCAGGAAGGTCACTGGTTCAAGTCCAATTCACCCATAGTGCATGTCTTTTGACTGTGGGGGAAACCGGAGAACCTGAAGGAAACCCACGCCAACACAGGGAGAACATGCCAATTCACCTATAGTGCATGTGTTTTGACTGTGGGGGAAACCAGAGCACCTGCGGGAAACCCACGCCAACACAGGGAGAACATGCAAACTCCACACAGAAATGCCAACTGTCCCACCCAGGACTCGAACTAGCGACCTTCTTGATGTGAGGTAACAGTGCTAACCATGCGAACTGTGCCACTGTGTCACCAATAACTTTTTACTTGTTGTCACCAAAACACACTCAAGAACTGTGTTGTTTCAGCTCATTTTAACGAAATATTGTGTGCTACTACTACTACTAAACTACTACTACTACTAAAAGTGGCACCTCTTCTTTTACCTCTCTTTCCGCAGGTCCAACATGTTCCCTGCTAGCCTACTGGTTCTGATGATCCTGCTGCTACCTCAAGCCTCATCAGGTCACCAGGAGGGTCCCAGTCAGACTCATGGAAAGCTGGACAGCCTTCTGGAGCCTAGTTTGGCCCATACCATCCAGAACCTCCTGCTAACCCGCCTGGGCTTACAGTCGCACCCCAACCCCAGTACAGAGGCACAAGTTCCCCAGTATCTTCTGGACTTGTATCGATTCCACACTCAACAGTACCATCTCATCGAGGACCCAGAATTTAGTTACCCCTCAAAGCATGTGCAAGGAGCCAACACAGTCCGATGCTTTCACCACACAGGTACAGCATGAGCAGTTATTGCACAGTCAGGAGTGCCCAATCCTGGTTCCTGGAGATCTACCTTCCAGCAAAGTCCAGCTCTGATGCAACTTTGATCGAACCCACCTGTATTTAATTACCAAGTGCTCCTTCGGGTCCTACTTATTTTGTTTAGTTGTGTTTGATCAGGGTTGGAGCTGAACTCTGCAGAAAGGTAGATCTCCAGGAACAGGACTGGGTACCTAGGTCATGGAGAACACAGATTTCCCTTGGTAGTCAAACTAATTCAGGCCCAATCCCAATTCTACCACTTAGCCCTTCCACTTACATCTACCTCTCGTTTTGCGCATTCACGCCAAGCAGTAGGGGCGTCCCAATTCTCTTAAGCTTGAAGGCTTAGGGCTAAGGGGAACGGGTGAATAGCCCTTTGAAAGAAGATTTTTACGAAAATAGAATTGGGATTGGGCCTTAATTTACCACAAGCACAGCACAGAGATGTGAGGAGGTTATTTAACCTTCTGTAGGTGCCAGGATATGATACCTGTGCATTCAATATTTTCATATCACTTTATTTCGGTGGTCCTTATTGCACATTATGTTGACCAAGTTGTATTGCAACTACATGCCACCTAATTTTTATTAAAGTGTCAGTATGCTTAAAGCAGGGATGGGCAAACCTGGTCCTGTAGAGCCGGTGTCCTGCAGAGTTTAGCTTCAACCCTACTAAAGCACACCTGCCTGTAGCGATATTGAAGACACAAATTAGCTTGTTCAGGTGTGTTTGATTACTGCAGAGACACCGGCCCTTGAGGAAAGAGTTTGCCCATCCAGTATACTTTTAAATCTGTTGGCACTGCCCCACCAACAGACATTCTCCTGACTATAAGAAACATTGCAAGTACATGTTAACTTAAACTAATCCTAACATTGCAGTCTACCAATACTCTAATGAGAATTATTTGGCATCCCTGCTGGAAAATCCAGCTCAAACCAGCCTAGGCTGATTGCATGGTTTTAGCTGGTTGACCAGGCTGGTTTTAGAGGGGTTTTGGCCATTTCCAGGCTGGTTTCCAGCCATTTCCAGCCTGATCTTAGCTGGTCAGGATGGAAAATGACCAGCTAAATCCAGCTAAAACCAACTTGACCAGCCTGGTTTAAGCTGGACAAAGCTGGTTTTGGCTGGACTTCCAGCTTGGCTAGGCTGGTCAAGCTGGTTTTAGCTGGTCATCTCCCAGCCTGACCAGCTAAGACCAGGCTGAAATGGCTAGAAACCAGCCTGGAAGTGGCCAAAACCCCTCTAAAACCAGGTTGGTCGACCAGCTAAAACCAGCGAACCAGCCTAGGCTGGTTTAAGCTGGATTTTCCAGCAGCGATGTTGTTACATAGTAACTTAAAACCAACAAAATATGTTAAAGGGACCATCTAAATAAAGCGATACTAGTTTTTCAGATATCTTGAAGATATTGTTGGCACCTTGGAACAGGTTAAAAAGCAAATCAACTTATTTTCAAAGCTGCTCTAAGCAAATTATGTGCATTTATTGTTTAGTAGCACACTGATGCCTTTGCAAAATTGTGTTTCTTTCTTAGAGGTTTTGTCTTTTTTTTATTCCATATA